CTTTTGGAGGTAACTGTGTAGTGCTTTCATGTCCATATGAAGTCTTTGAGGAATGTTTGTAGCACCTTGTTGAATATATGCCATGAACAGTTAACACAATTCTGAAGGTAAAAGCAGGTACAACTGTGTAATAGCAAGGTATAACTAACAAAGTGTCTAGTGAGGGACTATTATATGCAGTTTAAGATAACTGAAGGAAAAATCAGGCACAAACAAAAGAAAAATAGCAAACCACAGTAAGATTACATTTTTGTGCTTCTTAGTGAACAATTGCTCTGCGGTTTTCAGCATCTGGAAGCCCCGTGTGTGCTGAGCAGCTGGTACAGCTCTTGTGTTACATCATCCCTACATCTCTTAACCCAAATGTATTGGAAGTCTTGGTGTGTCACCAACACCTATTCCAGTGCAAGAGGCCAGCCAGGATGTGCATCTGTGCAAAATTTAATCTCTGCCAAAAGAAAAACAAACAACTCTACATATCTCTTTGATTTAAACTTTTTTTTATATATGTGCATTTTCTTATTTTGCATAATAATCAAATTTATGTGCGCTGTGTGTTTGGTTTTATGATGCCAAATTATAGGTTTATAATCCCCATAAAGTCACACGAGAGCAGTGGCATTTCATTCAGAATTATTGCTCTGTCGACCCAGATGACAGACTCTCTCGGTAAATCCCTTTGTGGAAGCCTGCTGAAACACAAAGTACCCAAACAGGATGCTAAAATATACTGATTGGGCCTTTTTGATGACAATTCATCTGTTCTTTCAGTCAAGCGACACAGTTCGGACTCGGCCTATCCTATAACAAACAGAAGACAAACCAAGGAACTCAAGTTATTTCATCAGGTAGCTGTTCATCATTTTCAGGAATGAACACAATCTCCTTTTCAGTGCGTCTGAAATACTAAGTGAGTTTGCAGTTTAGAAAAGACATAGAATAAGAATAAAGAAATAAAGTGAAACTATAAAGCTTCTTTTTTAAATGTTCTCACTACTAAATTAATTAACCAAGAGCACAAAACAGTGCAAAAGTCATGGGGATTCAGATACCTGAAGCAGGAAATTGCTTAAAAAGCATTAGCTCTAGAGTCAGTACTTGTGTCCTTCTGCCCAGCAGGCATCTCCTTTACCAGAATTTACTTTACCATTCCTTATTATATTCGTGACACAATGGTATGGTATTGTAATGGTATCTACAGTTAGATATAAGCAAACATAGTTGTGATTTTTTTTTACTGCTGGTTTTGATACCAGTCTTTGCCTCCTCAGATCGCCAAGAGACAGCTGCCACTGAGCAGTCAGACAAGTTTTCCAGCGTGAGAGAGACGGCCAAGCAGATACAACCAGCACAGGAGGAAGATGAGGAGGAAGAAGACATGAAGGGGGACAAAACTGAAGCCATGACAGAGGAGAACAGTTGTGGGAGTAACTGAGAGAGAAAGATAGCGCGGGGAGAACAGTTGAAGGGAAGATGTGGGGAGACTCATGATGGTTAAAATCTGAAGAACTCAGAAAAATCAAGAAATGGGTTGTGTGTCTTTTTAAATGTGTGTAGTCTGAATACACAGATGAGATGACAGCTGTCAGTAAACTGAGCGATGGATTCTTTCGTGACCTTAAACATGTGAGAAAAGGTTCTTGTAGTACTTCACCTCTAAAGGGTGGTTTTGAAAACGAGGATGAAGAGGGAGTTTTTGTATTAGTCAGCCTTTATGAGCAGGTGAGGAGTGATTTACTGACAGAGCAGACTACAGATGCTACTTTGGCCCTGGTGTCCTTTTGTTTATAATGACAGTGGAAGGGCCAAGGTCAGCGTGACCAAAAACCCTGCAAGACCAGACCTTCAAAGAAGGCTAAAATGGCCACAAGGAATACAAAGTTGACATTATCTTTCTCGGGTACATTTGATTAAAAACAAACAAAAACAAACTCTCCCGTATGACCCTTTGTAAAAACACTTGAAGGTCTTTAAATGTGTGCGGTACGTGTTCCATTTTACTTTGAAACCACAGCCTACATCGTTTGTTTTTTGATTTACAGCAGCCTCAGTGTTTAGTCCTTTGTGTGTGCTGCCATCTTGTGGTAAAAAATACAAATGACAGGTTAAAGTGCTACTGCGGCTACTTAAAGTTAAAATCCATAATTCAAATTCTGTTTTGATGCGATTTATGTTCTGCATTTTCAACAACAGCCTTTTAATTTCGCTGTATCTGAGCTTCATGTTGCCAAATCTTTGATCTTATTGATTATAACTTTAGCCTCTTGGAAGCTTGGATGGCGGTTGTTGCCAGTGTTATTTGTCACTGACAACAACAGAAGTCACCAGCTTTAATTAAAATCATCAATTATTTCATTTCTATATAATAATCTACTTTTATTCTTGCTCTTTATGCTCGGCATTTACCAAACAGTCATGCTGTAGTCACTGAGTTTACGTTAAAACAATTTGCAATTTGTTTATGCTTAGATCAATGTATGACTCTTTTAGTTCAAAAATCTTTATCTAAAATTATATGAACTCTGCATTTAGCCTTGTTTTTTTCTTTTAAACCTAAATTAAAATCTGTAAAGCTACCTCCAATTTTTCAAAAACACCCATTTGCTGCCTCTGTGCATGGCACATTTGAACGGGATTCTTCAGAAACTTATTGGGGAAATTTTAAAAAATGAATTGAAAAACATTTTCACTTCTAATCTAGGATATCTCCCTTTTGTATGCTGACACTTTTGTAATGTTAGCTTTTTCTCATTCCCTAATCGTCTGTTGAAAGAGATATTTTATTATATAATTATTCAACTTTGTTTAACTGACAAAGCAAACCTAATGATAAAATTTCTAGTTGTGCCACAGGATGAATAAATCTTGCTGTTTCTATCATCTAGGCTGCTGTTTGTAAATAAAACTTTGTGAGACTTTTTCAACCTGTGACCTGCCTAAATTGTGGGATGACTGGATGAGCAGGTTATGTGTGCTGAGGCTCTTCAGCCAATAATGTCCTCCCTCCTTCTTTATAACCACCCCCCTCCTCATCCCAGGTCAGAAGAAACAATCGTGGAAAGACATGTACGAATGCTTAATCTGTCTTTATTTTTCTTTTTTTCCATTCTGTTGTTTCTCAATGTGATGTGGTTGTTTTAAAGTGAGCAACTGTATGATATCGAAATAAACAATTTTTCCTTTCTCTTTTAACTCAACCTAAATCTTACTTAAATCTTACGTCTGACATTTTTGCTTGGGAATTCTTTTAGATCTTTTTAATTGCATGTTTTTCAGACCCATCCTACATTCACTGCTCTCTATCGAATTTATCCTTGAATCAGTTATGGACTGTCAGGAACTGCAAGTAGAGGATCCAGGTGCAGACACAAGAAGGCAGAGGTTAAATCGAAAACACACCGTTAATTAAGACCTTTGGTTAAGACCAAATCTAAAGTAGTGATTCAACTGATTCTTAAAATAGGTAGGGAAAAAAACAAACACTATAACAAAGACTAAGGAGCAGGGCAGGGCTATTTATACACATGGGGTTAATCAACGACAGTGAAAGGCAAGGAGACATAGCTGAATTCAACTGAGAAAATAAGACAACAAGAGAGACATAAAGACAGTCACAAGACACATATACACACAGTTTAGGAGTAAGATTTTTCCCTGGTTCCCAGAGAAGACTGATTCATAAAATAATTAATTTTTTAAGCTTTATTTTAACTTCACTTTCATGTAAAATTGGGAAGCTAATGGGCTTAATAGAATTTTTTTAAATTATTTTACAATTTACAGATTGGGTAAACTCCATTCAAATTATTTTTTTTAACAAAGGTTGTCACAGTTTATTTCATCAAAACAGTTTCCTTTTATCTTTAACAATGTCCACACTATTATTAGATTACACCAGGGATGTCAAATTCGCTTTACACTGTGAGCCCAGTTTGATCTGAACTGGGCCAGAGGAGTGGCATTCTCATAAGAAACAAATAAACAACTTCCACAGAACATCTCTATCTATGTGATAAAGACATGGTGTTGTAGAAAAAAAAAAAAGAAATCTCAGTACAACTCTTGGGACTTGAATAGTAATAAAGAAATGTGTCAAATTAAGGAAAATCTTCAGGCAGCTGACTCATAATCCTGTAATTATAAAACACAAGGCTTTTGTTAATTTTCATGTCCTTTTATTTGTTATTGTGTATCCTCAAAATTTCTACAGTAGAGTGTGAAAAAAACAGGAACTTTTCTGTCATTTATTTTTTTGTAGCATGAATGGCCCATGGGAGAGATCTTTATTAGTAAAGATGAAGCTATAAAACCTATGAAAATACAGTTAAAAGTGCAAAATTATAACCTTCATGTTTTCCAAAGCTGTCCAATAGGGGTGTATTAAAGTCATTGCCAGGCCGATTTTTGGGTCCTGGGCCTTATTTTTTATTATTATTTTATTTTATGATGTTATATTATATTTTACTAAAAGAGTTAGGTCATTATTATCCACACTGCCTTCATTTCGATATAAGAGCTACTAGAACAAACAGTACAAGAAAGAAGAACTCCTAAAATCTAAGAATTTATTTTAACTAATATAATTTTTTGCGTTATATAGTCTTCATGCAACACCTTCTTAAAGTATGTGCCAAATATTTCTTTCAGTCATTCCTTCATTCATTTGCACTCCAGTTCTTTCATTTGTTGGCATTCCCCACCCCTTAAGCAAAGGGCAGGAAACAGTAATGAGCCAGAGCTAAAAATAACTAGACCATTCATTATTTACACGTTGGCTTACTTGAGCTTTAAACTAATGGAGTTAAAGACCAATAAGTAAGTAAATACATAAATCAATCCTTCCTTATAATTTTCTAATTTTCTTTGGCTGTTTCAAAACCATTTTGCTTGCTCATTTGTTGTTGGTGGTGGTTGAAATATTTTGTATCCCATGTATTGTAATGGGTTAGGCTCGCATTACCAAATACTGTTTCAATGTTCCAACTAGACCCCATCTTTTGTTCCAAGTGTTCAGCACTACTACATTAGCAAGTGGAGATAATTATAACTGACATTGATTTTATAAAGAGGTTTCAAAAAATACATCAAAATTCGTCTTAAATTAAAGACCAAGAGGGGCAGTGTAGGTCCAGATAGATAATCTAAAACTGTATATGACAGTCCAACTACATTGTATACCAATATTTATTTAAAAAAAAAAACGCAAAACAGCATTATTAATCTAATCTAAACCGTAAAACGGAACAACTGTAAATACTTAATTTTGTACTGTGAGTTTCGATAGTATATTTCATATGCTGCATGTGTACGTGTTGGCGTAAATAAGTACCACTTTCGATTTCGAACGAAACCGGAAATACGTTACGGGTTCTTCTCTGACATCCTTTGACGGAGTCTGCGCTGGTCGATTGATTAGTTTCGGAGTTGTTGATTCAACTTTAATCCAAATTTGCACACCAGCCTAAATACAATTTTTATATAAAGATTAGCACGAGTGCAAGAGTGCATGTGCAAGAGTTATTCAAGGAGGATAAAGATTTTTACCGACCAAATGGTAAGTTTGTTTTGGTCTGAAAATTAGTTTTCTGCCCATTTAAACCTTTCGGTGTTACAGATGCTCTTGAGTGCCCACTCGATGGCACTCAAGAGTCTATTTAAATCCCACACAACTGACAAGTGACATTTCAGCATATAATATTGTCAGATTAGTCACAAGCTCGACCGATCGTGGTATAATCATGCCAACTGGTAGTCCGTTATAAAACATAATAGTCACACTCATTAAAGTCTATGCCAAAACTTTGAGTACAGCATTCTCCTAGGACATGGGTGCAGTGTTCCACTAATATTATTCCTTATGGTTATAGACTGGATACAGAGACACAAAAGATCAATAAAAAGTGATGGTGATCACGTGACACTCGGCGGGTAAGCGATCCATCTTGTTGTGATACTTCTTCTTTGGAAGGTCAGCCCGGAAGACTTCGTAAAGCGATGATGCTACTGTAAATCAAGTGAGTTCAATACCTTGAGTTTGCTTTAATATATACTTAAAAAATGATTTCTGCCAAGTTTCGCAGTGTTGCTTAGCGTGCCCGTTTTGTTACGTTTGAGGAGTGTATTTGTTTCTCGCAAGTGAGACCAACTTATTATCGAAGCAAACAGTGTAAGCTAAGCGGCAGCTAACAACATTGGCTATTGGTTATCTCTTAATTATCCAGTCTGTGCTTTTCTAGAAGAAAGACTTCAGTCTAGCTATTGTTCCCTGATATTATTGCCTTCGCGTCTTGTGTTTGACAGTTTGACAGCGTTGAGTTAGCTTGCTAACAGGAATTAGCTCCCGGACCTTCAGGCTGTTTTATTTTTGGCACAAGTGAACAGGCTAGGGGAGTCACGGGATCTTAACCTGACTTTAAACTCCGCTTTAGCGGTTTGTTGACTTAATTGATGTTCTTTCGGTTAATAGATAAGACATGCTTGATCACATCTACCTGTCAACGTGTACCGATGTTACTTAGTTTGTCCAGAGGTGATTGAAACTCGCTCACCTCCGGCTCAGTGGTGTAATAAAACCCGCTGTCTTCCTGCTTCGTGGGAATTGTTCTCCCAGACTCTGATGTCACACCAGAAAAGCTAATGATTCGTGACTACAGACTTGCTTTCAAGAAGTCACGTCACATGCTTTACGCAGTATTAACGTTGGAGTCGTTCATTTTAAAAAGCTTTTGGTGGAAGATCAGATATAACACTGATCGTTTAACACAAACACACAGGCTGTTTGTTCTTGTAAAATAAGGCAAAACTAGCAACGCTTGCTGTTTGTCTTCACCATAGGGAGGTGAAAGGAGATCACAAGACTCCACTGAAGGCTAGTTATCGTCTGCTGTTTTCACCAAAAAACCCCCAAACAAAAACAACCCCAAAAACACAGTGACAAGTCAGAGGCAGGGCTGAGAGGATTTGGACATGTGCAGAGGAGGGATAGTGGATATACTGAACAAAGGATGTTGAATATGGAGCTGGCAGACTAGAGGAAAAGAGCAAAACCACAAAGAAGATTTATGGTTGTAGTGAAAGAGGATATGTAGAGGGCAACCGCGACAGAGGAGGTGAGATCGAGGCAGATGATCTGCTTTGATGACCAATAGGGAGCAGCCGGAAGAAGAAGAAGCAGCGCTAAACATGACAACCACCCACTTATGTCTGTTTTGCTGCAGGTGGATTTTCCTGTGCCACAGCAGGAATGCATGGTGGAGCCTATGGGGAGCTCGGGGGCAGCCTCCCCGCCATCGCCTCTCTGAATGCTTCCTACTCTACATCGATGTCCATCCCATCCCCGTACCTGTTGACACCACCTGCAGAGCGCAAGAAGATCTCTGACGTGCGGCGCACTTTCTGTCTCTTTGTGACCTTCGACCTTCTCTTCATCACCCTTCTCTGGATTATTGAGCTTAACGTGAGTGTGTGCTTTCACTGTTCTTGTTGCCGTTGCAGCACTAATGGTTAAGACTTGGTTTGATGTGATCTCTGCCCTCTTCTTCTGCAGATCTCAAACTCACTTTGGGAGAGTTTAGAGAACGAGGTCGTCCATTATAACTTCAAGTCATCCTTCTTTGACATTACTGTAAGTGGGTCAATCCAAATTTGTGTTTATTTGCATTCAGTGTTGAAATGATGGGTCATTTATTACCACGTTATTCTAATCATGCTTTGATCACAATGAGCAGTTACTTATGTGTAACCTGCTCTTGTAATTCCTCCTTTTGGGTTGGCAGATTGCATCATTATAGCCACACAAGGGGAAATTATTTGCAACGTCAACATGTAATTAAAATGAAAGGTCATTTTCTTTTTCTGCTTCTTCCTCCTTGTCTCAGCTCCTTGCCTTGTTTCGTTTCCTGTGTCTTCAAGTGGCCTATGCTGGTTTTCGGTTGAGGCATTGGTGGGTTATTGCGGTAAGTCATCTCAGTTACAGTTAAACACACACTGAATAGATAATGTAAAGTCTTATATGTTATTTGCCGGACATGAGCTATTAAACATTTCTTCTTAAACTCTTCAGATTACCACTCTGGTAACAACCATCTTCCTCGTTGTCAAAGTTATCATATCGAATGTGAGTGTCCTCTCTTTGCTACTCTAACACTTTCAGAGCCTGTATTTGTCTATGTGAACGGTTTGCAAGCATATCAGTTTA